TTTTTACCACAGCATCCATATTTGTTACACTTAAAACTTAGCAGAATACTGAATTAAGTCAGTTTCTGCACGTTTCAGTGTGTTTTTGCCAAGTGGGAACAAAATTAAACATTCAGTTTTGTGCACCAAAAAATCTGCCTTCTTAAGCGTTGGTCGAATTGCTTGTTTTTGCATAGAAACTCTTAATTTGAATTGTAAAAAAATTTTTACGTAATTTTTTTTTTATGTAAAAATTGTTTCTAACTGTATTTTGTTATATGTGTTTATATGTATTTGGTGTTTTGTATTTTTCTACATTTTGAATTTTTAATAAGATATTTTGCGATTTTTAATAAAGGTAATTTGAGGTTTTATGTGTTTTTGCGGCGAAATGAAACCTGAATTAATTGAATGAGAACTATATCTCTAATGAAATTTGACGAAATAAGTTTAAATAAAATGCACAAAAAATGCGTATAATTTAATATTCCATTCAAGAAAGTCATGTGGTGTACACAACCATTATATTTCAAATTCAAAATATAAATATTCTTAGTTTAAATTTCTGACCTTCTTAACACATTATTTCTGAAATTTAGGCTTATTTCTGAAAATATTTGTGAACTGGTAGCTCATTTTTTGATAAGATAAAACTTACTTTTGTTGACAGAATATTTCGCTCATTTTAGCTAAGGCGTAAATTTTGACTGCAGTGATATCACATGCTTTATGAAAATAAAATTTCTTCAGGTTATGAATAATTGAAGTAAATTGTTTCTGAAACTAACCTCTTTGAATCTTCGATGTTGTCATCCAAAAGCCGGGGGCAGTTCCCGACTCGTCAGAATGAAATTTTACAGACAGAACGTGGTGCCTCGATGTAACTGGATATGGTCTATGATCGCCACAGAACTTGCCCAGCATATGAAAATCATAGGCACTGGAAATCGAGACGTAGTCCCCCTCGCAATCATTCTCCAGGTGAAGATCCACTGTCGTTAGCTGAAGGGTAGTTTCAATAAAGTTTTAATATTATATTTTTATTTAATTAATATAGTTAAAAATAAATAAGTTAGATTTGTATTTTTAGCGCTCTTTGGACCTATTTCATTTGTGACCGCTATGAAGCAATGAGAATTTGCCGAAACCATAGATATTAAATATAAAATAAAAAATAAAAAACCACAAACAATTTATTTGTTTGGTAAACAAGGTGCACCTTGCACACACACACAAAGAGATGGGACAGTTGTATTTATCCCGTTCTACTGGACCGATTCTCGAAATTGCATTTTCCATGCCTCGAAAGCGCGACTTAGGATATATATTAGATTTACATACAGCATTGTCCTAACATAGGTATTTTGACACAAAATCGAACTTTCTTTGAAATAACATAGCAGTTTTTTCCATATTTCCCTTCTACGACTGAAATTAGGCCTAAGCGACATGTTTTGTAAAAATTGCTCGAGTAGTTTTTAAAAATTTAGCTCTCAAAATTTCAGCTCCTCAGTGTTAATTGAATTTGGTAGCATCTCTCTTTTTTTAAACTTATTTTGTTCTTCCTTTCGCATTTCGAAATTTTGGTACATTGCAAATGAAATTCGCCCATTTTTTATAATTTATTTTTAAAATTTGTATTTTTTAAATAATTTTTAATAAATTTTTTCTTTTTCCGAAAAAACATTTGGTTACAATCTGTAAAATTTTTTATTAAAACCGTCATCTTAAAGGAGATGTGTATTTTTTAAGCATACCTGGCAAAAATTAGAGTGTTTTATTTCAAAATTTCCTAAGGGAATTTCATATTTGGCGCCGTTTTTAAATTTAGAGATATTCATTATTAAAAACGTAATAATAACGGCAAAGATGTGGTTTAACGCACTTTTGGTTAATATTGTTTTAAAAGTATGAACCGTTTTTGACCCTTTTTTTTTTTTTTTTTTTTTTTTTTTTTTTTTTTTTTTTTTTTTTTTTTTTTTTTTTTTTTTTTTTGTAGCTGTACAATGAAGAAAGGAAAGGAAAATAGTTGCTTAAATTTTAAGAAGGTTTGCCCAAGTAAAATTATTCTTGAAGGCAAACTTAAAAAAATAACGGCCAGAAAAACTTTTTGAATGTTTTCCTCACGAAAAATTGCAATAATTTAATATCCAGGCGTAATTTGAGTCGTATATGGAAATATGAAAAAGAACTGGCATGTTAGTTCAGAAAAAGTCCGACTTTGTGCCAAAATACCTATGTTAGAATAATGCTGAATATAAATCTAATATATATCTTAATGGGCCTTCGAGGCATGGGAAACGCAAGTTAAATTTCGACTATCGGCCCTAGTAGAACGGAAGATATAGAACTGCCCCTTTTTGTGTGTGTGTGCGCGCAAGGTGTACATACGAAAAGTTAGCAGTTTTAGGATTTCTTTTAAGTAGTATACAAAAATTAATGAATGAAAGTTACTTTTTTAATGAGACGAATATGTTGATTTTTTTGCTGTATAGCAATATAAATCTTGCGCGTTATTTTACCTGCTGATTGTAAAGCTTCTTCAATATTTTTATGTTCGGAACGATATTTGGATTTAATAATAGTTAAATGTAAAAAAGAATGTTTCAGATTAAGTATTTGTTGCTAAATGGTCGAAGAAATTCTAATTCAGAAAGTGTGAAAAATTTATTTCTATCTCTCATCAAGGATTCAGTCAAAGATTTTTCTGGAAATTTAAGTTTTAAGTTTGAATTACTCAATAACTCAACATATTCTTCTTCGGCTTTGTATAGCAGCTGTTATTCGTATTATGTCAACAAAAATGGTTTTTGAATCCAAAATAACTTTGTGAAATGAAATCTACAGCTAAATTATTATCAAAACCATTTTGTTAAAGTTTTGAAGTGAATTATAACAAATTTTGCAATGAAATATTTACAAGTATATTACTCAATCGTAAAATTGCCGACAATCGAAAACATTTAGAAGCAATTATTTCTCTATCCAATCTTCGAAATGTTAATTTTGTTTTAATAAAATTTTCAATTTTATCATTCGAAGTAAATACATTGGTATTTTTTCCTATAACAGACAAGTTGAGATCTTTCAGTTTCTGAAAAATATACGACAACAGCACAGTTTCAATGGCCACAAGTCATTTTGAAAAAGGGAAGCAAGATCAGTTTTTTCTTTAAAAAATATAATAATTTATTTTTGTTAATAAAAATAGTCATCTTAAACTTTGCTGTTTTTACAATGGCGTGGGGAATCTAACAAAGCTCCGCAATGATTTTAGTGCCGGACCTAAATTTCAACATTAAAATGCATTCAGTGACGTTTCTATTTAAATCAACATTCAGTCTAGTTTAAAAGGAACTTTATAAGAATACCAAAGCAGGTTAATCTAATCTAGAATCTAATTAACATCTATCAACAGCATTCAAGCTGCATCAAAACAAATCGAAAGCAAGCTCCAAAGTTCACAATGTCACCACTTAGCTTTCTCTATATCAATGAGTTTCTACTGATTTTTGCGTTGCCATTCAGAGCCAAAAATTGTGTCTATTCAAACCATAATATTAACTCTCTGTATAATAAAATTTTTTTCAAAAAATACTAATCCATATATTTTCAGAGATTCGAAAATAAACAGCTGTTAAGGACACGGCTTTTGCTAAAGTTTATATTTTTAGCAGCATCCTGATGCACATCGTTCAATGCCGTTGTTAATGATTTTGCTAGAGCAGCATTTCGATAGTTCACGCAGTGAGTAAATATTCCAGCAGCTTTCATTTACACGATTTAAAACCAATATTTTCGCCCTTCATCGCTTTTGCACTATCTCTGCATACTCCAATGCAATTTATCCATTCTAAACCCTCAGTTTTAAAACATTTTTCAATTTTGTACATGTTGCCATCTTTTGTATTCTCCCAAAGGACAATAAAACAACAATTCTTTATCAATTTTCATTACATCTACTAAAATATATTAGCAACCGAACTATTTTTGAAATAGCAGTTGTTCTGTCCAATTGAATTGTAATTTTTGGGCCTTCTTTAACTTGTTACTGCGAGTTAACTGCTCGTATTAACTTCAAAAATTTGATTAGCGACAGTATCGTTTGGCAAAGGAATTTTTTAATTTCATTACCAAAATTACTTACGTAAAGTATTTTTTACCATTTCAATAACAGCAGGTAATACAAGATTTTCTCCAAAGGTATGTGGCTTTTTATTTTTAGCAGTAATTTACGAATCTTTGTATAACGCGAGTAAATATTTTTTGCTAACGGTCATAAATTTATAAAAATAGCATTTTTTTATTTTTTTTATTTGAAGATTTAAAGTCATTCGAAATATTCTTCTCATTTACTGATGTACGAAGGATGTTCAGATTCAAGATGCTCTTTCAGTTTTGATGGTTTTATACTCTTGATAGCTCAAATGTTGCCAAAAATTAAACAAAAAGGTTATTCATTGCCATCACAGTTAATCACAGCGGTGCTAAGGTACACACCGAATGATCGCTACGGTTTTGTGGATAAAGGTTTTCAACCTCTGATGTAGAGCCTTGTTATCTCAGGTTATCACACTATAGAGGCATTAGGAATTTTTTGAAAGCAGGAGAGAAGAAAAATGAGCAATACCTTCGCCGGACTCGAACCACAGACCTTTCGAATACGCGTCGAGCGTGCTGACAACTACACCACGAAGGCATGCTAAGAAGGCGGGAAAAATACCTTATATACTCCCCCTTTTAAACGGCAACTGGGAATTGGGGGACTCAATCGCGAAATCCTGGGGGTGGAGAATCATCATCCACCACCTTTTAGTTCGGGGGCCACTGTAGAGACATTAAATATTTTTGAAGGAAGAGTCATGAAAAGGAGCATTGCCTTCACCGGGACTCGAACCACATACTTCTCGAATACGCACCGAGCGTGCTGACCACTACACCACGAATGCACTCTAAGGAGGGAGAAATACCTTATATACTCCCCCTTTTAAAGGGCGACTGGAAATTAGGGGACCCAATCGCCAAATATTGGTTGTGGGGAATCATTATCCACCACATTTTATAGATCAGGCGCTACTGTGGAGGAGTTCGGAAGCAGGAAAGTGAAGAAATGAGCAATGCTCTCGCAGGAACTCGAACCACGGACCTCTCGAATACGCGCCGAGCATGCTTATCACTACACCACGAAAGCATGCTAAGAAGAAATACCCTATAACATAACATAAATTCTAGTAAGTATAATTCTGCTGATGCGAAAGATTTTGAAAGGCTGAACCCGAAATTTTTTTAACCCTACAACCTAGGATTAGAAAACACATATAAATGGCAAAGGATGTCTCTTATAAAGAGATAAATATAGCTGTTTAAATATTTGAAACATCATAAATATGATTTCAATATTCCGCGATTCAGTTCCTTAATATGATAGGTTGGGTTCCGACGAACATGATCACAATGGATTTTAAAGATTTGTAAGGTATTTTCTCCCTTCTAAACACATCTGACTAGCTATCAGAAGGTAAATTCTGGCGAGGGCATTAGTCATTATTCACGAATGCTCCAAAAGACTTATTCGTTCTGTTTGCATTATTAAGTAAACAATGTTTCAAATATATATTATGAGTCTTCCATCTTTAAAAATAAATTACACAAATTAAAATCTTATGCTTTGAATGGGTAATGTCTGGATAAATGCGAAATGAAACTTACCGTTATTAGTTCTCCATAGTCTGCCTGTATGATCCAGTGACAGTCAGTATTAGGTGGATAACCGTTTGGATACCCGGGTGAAGTAATGTTTACATCACTGGGTGCGTTGATTATGCCACCGCAATCTAGGTCGAAATTCATCGATTAAATATTCTCCAAGTATTTAAGCAGACTTCGGATATACTTTTGTGTAACAGTAAATTCGAGACAGGTTGCTATAACATTCATTTATTTTAGACATTATTGTAATTGTAGTATTTATCTTTTCTTAAAAGTAAATTCGCGTAATCGTGTCGTGTCTGATTGAAAATAAAACTTACACTGCGAAAAAAAAATGGCACAGTTCTATATCTCCCGTTTTATTGGGCCGATTGACGAAATTCAAATTGCGTTTTTCATATCTCGAAAGCGCGACTTAGGATATATTTATATACAGCATTAATCAAACATAGGTATTTTGATACAAAATTGGACTCTTTCTGCGAATTTCTTTCTATGTTCTACGACTCAAATTATGCCAAACTCCCAAGTTTTGTAAAAATCGCACGAGCAGCTATAAAATATTAGCTGCTCAAAAATTTTAGCTCCTCAGTGTTAGTTCAAGTTGGTATGTATTTATTAAAATATCTTTTTTTATGAAACTTATTTGATTCCTTTCTACACAGTTCGAAATTTAGGTTCATTCCAAATAAAATTCACTCCTTTTTATGATTTATTTTTAAAATTTGTATTTCTTAAATAATTTTTATAAATTTTTCGAAAACATTTTTGAATTATAACCTATAAACGTTTTACCATCATCTTAAAATGTTAGATGTATTTCTAAGCATACCTGCAAAAAAATAAGAGCTTTTTATTCAAAATTTCCGAAGATATATGTGAATTTATATATTGGCGCGTTTTAAATTTTGGCATATTTGTTGAAAGCGATAATAACGAAAATGTGGTTTACGTACTTTTTTTAAATTATTTGGAAGTAGGAACGATGTGTCTTTTTTTCCGCTCATCCGCAATGTAAAAAGGTAGGAACGATGTGACGTTCCGCTCTTGCACAATAAAAGGGAAAGGAAAATAGGTTGCCATTTATTAAGAAGTTGGCCAAGCAAATTATTTTTGGCTCAAACTGAAAAAAAATTACAGCAAGTTAAATCTTTGAATTTCTCCGTAAATTTCGCACCAAATTTGACAAAATTTAATATTTAGGCATAATTTGAGCCGTAGAATCTAAGTATGGAAAAGATATGGTATGTTATTTAAACAAAAGTCCTATTTTGTGTCATAATACCTATATTAGAACAAAGCTATGTATTAATCTAATAAATATCCTAAGTGGCACTTTCGAGCCATGGAAAACGCAATTTGAATTTCGTCAATCGGCCCATTAGAACGGGAGATATAGAACTGTCCCTTTTTTTTTCCCCGATGTACATAGATTAACATCCAAGGCTCCAAGGCATTTACTTCACTTTCATTTGTTGTTCACAGCTAAAAGGAAAATACGAAAAATATGAATTGATGACTCAAATTAATATCTCAATGAACAATAGCAAAAGCAAATCTTCTAAAGCAAGGTGCACGGCTTTTGGCCTTATGTAATCAACTATAAAGGTGGCACCTATAGCTTAAAATGTCATTAGGACTTGAAGAGCGTCTGAGTAAAACTGACTCCTTTCTAAACGCACTTAACAGCATTTGCGCGAGTAAACACTAGCAACATAAAGTTCTTGTACATTAGTACGAACTGCAGTCAACATTTCTGGTCCTTATCCTTATACCTTGTGCATGCTTTTCATTTGCATAACTTTCTAGATATGAATCAAAGGGAAGATAGAACAATGTTTAAATGCAACTGTTAATGAAACGTAGAATAATTACTGTACATTTTGAAGCATTTGTCCTCAGTCGCAGAGCTTTTAAATAGACGGCAAAGAGTTTGAAGGAAATGTGGTCGATATGTGGTTTCTATAAATAAAAAAAATCTGACGTTTAATTTGATTAAGAGACCCTAAAAGTAAAGTACTCAAAGACATACTTACAGTATATAAGTAACTCAAATATAAAGGCTTCTTTAAATTTGGTTTACGAAGGTTATATCACAACAGGTTTCCAGGCTTAGATCATTTTATAATGTTTATTTTTTAGTGATTTCTATTAGATTTCAATTAGATTTAGGGCCTAACTAAGAAACAAAAGTTCCTTGTTTTGCATTTGATGGTTCTGTAAAGACCAAGCACTTTGTTAACTTTGTATATGATCTTAATAAAATCTTGATTATTAATATTTCTCCAAATAATGCTCGTAAAATTATAGACACTTTATTGTCTTATTATTAACACTTTATTTTCTATTTATTTTTCTAATTAGTCATTTTACTTTGTAGGAAATGTATAAAACATTATATTTTATATTTGCAAAAACCTTGTTAATAAACTCATTTTCTGAAAGGTTGAAGAAACAACGTTTCGTAAACTTATTAGAAGCAACAAGATTCTCATTCACATATAAATGCAATTTCTGGACTGTACTATCGTACCTTCCCCTTTAAATATCTGTAACTCAACATAAGACACTACATTGAGAAAAAAAATTTAAATTGCTCTCATGCGTCGTCATTTATAACGGATAAGCATTAAGAAAACGGATAAACGAATGCACAAAAGCTACTACAGCAGGAATGATGTTGATAAAACTTTGCTTCGATTGTTTATTTTATCATACTCGCCCTTTTTTTCTCTTCCTGCTCCATTCGGATAATATAAACCTTTTGCAAAAATATCCCTCCAAATTAGATGGTTGTTGAGAATTAACCAATAAGTTATTTGCGTATAGTAATACAATGCATTTAGATACATTTTAAAATTAAATTCTAATCGTAGTTTAAGTTATCTTTCGAAGCTGCTGATCATCGGTTCCTAGAGACTGAAATTTATTTCAGATCAACAGATCAGCAGCTTTCAACTGTAGAGACATTAGGTAATTTAGGAAGCAGGAAAGATGAAAAATTTGCAAGGCCATCACCGGGAATCGAACCGCGGACCTCTGGAATACCCGTCCAGCGTGCAGACCACCACATCACGAAGGCATGCCAAGAAGGCGGGAGAAATACCTTATACAACCAACAGATCACTGGTGTGAGACAACTCAGTAAATTTTGATAGATATTTAAATTAAGATTGCATACAGCCACATAATCCCCGTCACGTTTCCTAGCCACCGATGCCTCTCATGATTGCCGGTGATCTAGAATTTGAAGGTCACTTAGTGTTAACCCATAAATGAGCGATATGAGTGGATTATTAAGCTGAGATTAATATTTAAATTAAAATTCAATCGGATCATATAAGTACGTTTCAAGTGTGCTGGTCACTGAGAAATCACAAACTGAAGTTTCAATCCATAAGTTAATGACAGATTCAACCCATAAATCACGACTATGGAGTAATGGTGTTATAACTAGAGCAGTATTTCCCAGATTGAGTGCACCACCTCTCTAGCGGCTACTAGTGGTCGTTAGAGTAGTCTAAAGGTGCGTCCACACGACTGTGCTGGCTACATAAATCTGAGAACGAAAAATATTCCGGTGAACAATATTTCCAATGAAGATGCGAACGAGGTCTGCGTTTAGCCAATAGAATTATTCAAAAGGAAAGTTAAATGACATTCACAGAAAGTTGCAAGCGGAAAACATTTCAACTGCTGTTTTATGGTGGTTTGCTCAGAAGTGTTTGAAATTCGGTCTATTTTATGATAAAATTTTGTGCAGTAAGCAACTTAGCCCCTTGAGGATCGAACTGAAATAGAACGCCTCCACCGGTCTACGCATTTTCAGCAAGCCTAAGTAACTAGATTTGTTTCAATCTGTGAATCACTCCACAAGAATAACTATTAGAAGAGCTGAGGACATTGGAAACTACTCCAAAGGTCAATTAAAAGAGAAGACAAAAAATTTCAAGTTGCTTTCCTTGGCTGTTGATGAGTCAACAGACATTAGTTGATTCTGCGCAATTGCTGGTATTTATTCGAAGGGTCAATACTGAGTTTGATGCGATTGAAAAAGTAGATTCTAGGAATACTTTACATGGAACAACCACAGGTAAACGTATCTTCAAGTTGAGAAATCGTTAATACAATAAAATTTGCTGCGAAATCAGTTAAAATATGTCACCACTGATAGTAGTAAAATTGTGTGTGGAACAGGAAACTGATAAGTTGGATAAGTGTTTAAGGCTTATGAAGAAGCTAAATGTTTAAAACGTCTAGTAATGCACTGTATTATTCATGAGCAGACCATTTATAGGAAACATCTCAGTATGTCATGGTGTTATTGAACCACTTGTGATAGCAGATAATTTTATTGGTTCTCGTGAACTTAGCAGTCTTCAATTTCGTGATTTGTTTTAGACATCGAATGCCGAATATTCTAATTTTCTCTGTCTTATTGTACATGGATGAGTCAACAATGGAAACATTTTATTGAGATATTTTTAAATCAGACAAATAATGGAAATTTTTCTGAATGAGGAAAATTTCCCAAACTACTTTAGCAAACAATGAATGGTTATGAAAATTCGCATTTGCTGCAGACATTGTGGGATATCTTGACGAATATAATTTGAAATTAATAAACACTGTGTTTATATTTTTAAAATATTCTGTCTAGCAAAATCCCCATTCCCCAAATTGTTTGCGAGGGATGCATTAACTCGAAGCAGATGCAAAAGATTTATACATGTTTCAAATCCCTTTTATTTATACATGTTTCAAATCCATTGTTCAAAATCCATTTTATTGTTCAATCGAGAAGCTTCCGTCACACCTTCAGTCGGTAGTAATTAATCTGAAAACTGATGCTATAATGTTTAAAGAAATTGATCTGACACAATTCTATAAATGTCTTTCGGAAGATGCATACGTTCAATTAAAATCATATGTAATGGGTGGCCATAATTAAACTGACAGTGCTCACAGTGTTCTGTAGCGCGATCTATTTGCGAGAATGACGCCGCATTTTGTAGGAAGATTAAACAAGACGGGGGACGAAGGATTCCACGAAAAAACAAATTAGTTCTAAAAGTCACCGCTGGGGGATTATTTGGCGCTGTGTAATAGAAAATAGAGTGCTAACAAATGCAAATCAATACGGAATAAAATTACCTTTTATTATGCACATTTTCTAATTTAGTTCAAGTGCAATATGGCAACACGTTTAAAAAAGCAATTTTAAAAAGCGATAAAAGACAATGCCTGGGGGAAATCATTTTCATGCAAGATGGAGCCCCTCCACACGTTGCTGTACAGGTGCAACAGATGCTACGACAGAAATTCACAACAGAAAGAGTCATTAGCCGCTACTTTCCATCTGCATGGCCACCTCGGTCGCCTGATCTTACCCCATGAGACTTCTGGCTATGGGGTTACCTAAAGTCTAAGGTCTATCAAGAAGTGGTCCAGGACCTGGCTGCATTGAAGGATAACATATCACGGACTGTACGGGAGATTCCTGCTCACATGTTACTTTCTGCTTGTTGTGCATACTGTGCACAGAATGCAATATGTGGTCCACAACAACGGCAGCTACATTGAACCTCATTTGAATGCAAAATAAAAGGTTATTTCCGTATTGATTTGCATTTGTTAACACAGCGCCAAATATTCCCCCAGCAGTGACTTTTGGAACTACTTTGTTTTTTCCCGGAATCCTTCGTCCTCCCGTCCTGTTTAATCTTCCTACACAAAATGTGGCGTCATTCTCGCAAATAGATCGCGCTACAGAACACTGTGAGCACTGTCAGTTTAATTATGGCCACCACATATCTGCATTTGAGAGCGTTTACTAATGTGAAAGAACATTTTTGAAAAAATGTGTGTGAGGTCATAGTACAGATCATTCATTATTAACATGTAGCCAACAGCAGCACGTTTAATGATAGGAGGGGCTTAACTACAGTATGATGAAATAATATCTCGAAAAAAAAATTATATTCATCTCATTAGTATAAAATTTAACCTTTCTACATTATGTTAAAGGATAAATGGAAGTATTTTATATGATCTTATGTAAGTGTCAGCAATATGTGTATAAATACTTCTTTCTAAAACGCTTTAAAACAGGTTTTTTTGTGTGTTTTTTGTTTATTATTGTTAGCCTGCTGAGCCAAAAATTGCTATTATCTGGTCTTTTCCGAAAACGTTTGCCGACCTTTAGTCTAGCAGAGCAAAATATTTTATTAACTGAAGCTATGAGGCCTTACAGATTGCAAAAGCATTTGTTCAAAGCTTATTGAAGCAAAAAGAACAGAGAATTCGCATTAGTTTTAGGTACCAGAAGAGATGTTTGTAACATAAATCATATTTGCGAAGCTTTTCCAATAACATTCAGTCCAGATGATGATGTGTTGCATGCTTCTTATAATACTGCTTTATTTTATTATCAGATCACCCGCCTACCATTGCTGAAGAACTGATCTTAAAAGCTATAAATGAAGTATTATGAACTGTCATACATCACAACTGAAATCGTAAAGAAATATCTTTTGATTAATTACACTCAAAAGAAAAATCGATGAAGTGTCTGACAATGCTGAAAGCTCTCTATTTAAAGTTTAAGATCTACCTTATTTTTCAGTACAACTTGACGAGTCAATTTAAGAGGGAATGAAGTCTTACTTCTCGATTATGTACGTTTCATAAGGGATCAAAATATCTGTCAAGAATTATTATTTCCGCAATTTTCATTAAAGTACGTTATGAAAGATTATGCTTATAATAGGACGAAACTGACTTGAAAACAGTGCTGCCATCTGCTCTTCATGGCTCTCCAGTAATGGATGCCAAAATGGTTTTATAACATATTGAAATCTGGGGTTGTTCATACCCTGAAATGATCACTGGCAATTTTAAGTGGCAAAATCTCTGAGTAAATACTTACATTGATCACTATATTTCGTTATCAGAGCAGTGAATGGAACCAGAGGTAAATTTTTGAATGACAAATTATTTGGATTGCTCTGTATTGAAAGAAGGACCTTTCGGTCATCTGCCGCACAGACGTCCATTGCTGTTCGAGAGAAATCGATTCTTATTTCAGTTACTTTTTTTTTAAATTTTGAGCTTAGTACTATACTTTTTGGAAGATGAAGATGCAGCTTTAAGAGCTAATTTGTAAGGTATATTTTAATTTTATAACAGTTATCTTAATTTAATTCTGCTTCCTATCTTGCCTCCTTTCAAACTACAACCTCCTACCAGAATGAGTTTATGAGTTATGAGTTTTTAGAATCACGTTGAAGGCAAATGAGTCAGAAAAAGTATTAAAGGAAAGTTCAACTTACTTCGAGAGAGAGAGAGCTAGGAATCCTGGGTAGAGTTTGCTTGCCTTTGGGCTAAGTCTCTCTAACTGCTGTTACGCTCGACCGTATATTGCGGGCCTTTTGATAGTTTGCCTGCTAGTTTAAAACTAAGGGCTATCTACGTTAGAACTGGGTTAGCTCTGGCTAAATCTCTTAGTTAAATATAATTAGTTCTTATTTCTTAAAACTATGTTTGTTGTAAGCCCGAAGAAAGGGGCCGACTGTTAATCTTATTTGGAGTGAATAAAGGGTAATTAACCCTTTTTAAGTTTACGTACTCTGTTCTTTGAACCAAGCGATTATTCGCTTAGCAGCTCACTAGGTTTCTCGACACTTATTTTAACAGAGTAAAATAATCTAACAGAATAGTCTTCTTTTGAGAGAAATAAAGGGTAATTAACCTTTCTTGAGTTTCCGACTTCTGTGATTTGAACTAAGTGATAATTCCCTTAACAGTTCACTAGGTTCCTCGGCATTTAAATTAGTAGAATAAAATCGAGGAACTTTACAAATTCAAAAGCAGGTATAGCTTATTCAAGAGAATTTCTTTATTGAATTGAATGAAGAAAGACTTGTTGCCTGTAAAATGTGACGCTTAAGCTTCAACAAGCGATGTAAATTAAATAAAAATAAAAAATATAATTTCTACGTTTGAGGTAAAGCTTCAAATGCATAAAAAGAATTTGGAATCGGGAGGGAGTCGATTGACATTTACCATTCGTTAACTGCTGGAACAAAACGATAAACGTTGGCAAAGATGCACTTGGAATTGCCAACATTGGAAGCTCTGGTACTGGATTTCATAATATTTAAAAAATGGATGTACACTATTGGCTTTGAACCCGTGTTCTCGAGCAAACTCAGAAGTATTTCCAAACTTAGAAGAATTCTTTTAGTTAACAGCAAATAAGAACTGAAACTTCAATTTAGATAAGAATGCCAACATTTTTGGTTGCAGGAACAAACAACTGATTTTGATTTTGATTTATGAAATATCGTACAGAAATTCCTCTTAATGTTCCATTCCCCTTATTCAGTGTAACGCATATTCAGTGTAGTAATAACTTTAATAACTCTGAAAAGACCAGCTATAAATAACTAACTGCGGGTATTTGAGAATATCAGCAAATGTAGAGCCGAATATTGAAAATATAAAAATAAATTTAAATTAAAAATTAAATTGAAGCATAGCGATGCCGTGAAGGTTGTTTTCACGAGTACCAATCAATGTCACTGGTGATCTGTAAGCTGAGGGTGATAACAGATGTGAGGCCGTGAAGTAAATTTAGTTTAAATGAATCAGTAGAAATTTAAATGAAAATTATATGGAAGCGCAATGGTACCGAGATGTTTCTTGGTAGCTGGTGAATTACAACTAGTAGGCAACAATCGTAAAAGGTATTGACTATAACATAGAGGATGAATAACGTAGAGGATGTTACCCGCATCATTCCATTAACGAATGGATCACCAGTATAGGGAACAACAGAAAAATTAGACACGTAATTTAAATTTAAATGAAAATAAAACACCGAAGGTTGTCTGTTATTGGAAGTCTGCACACTGATGGTCGCTGGAGGCAATAAATAGTTTGTTAAGAATGGAGGCAGTGAAGTAAGTTGGAATAGATTGTAAGAATACAACTAAACTGAAGAACATCACTGCCTATCGAACTTGTTGTTCACTGGGGACCTCCGCATTGTTTAGCAGTGAATTATGGCTTCTGACTATCAACTGATGAAGTCACCGATATGGAACATGTAGCGAATTTAAACATATTGTTAAAAATAAGAGAAACTGAATTCATTGTAACTATTGTATTAACTAAGTATTGTTTGCAATGAAAAAATCAATTTTCACCAGTAATTGTCAAGAAGCTTTGAAGATATGATTTTTTAATCAACAGTGTAGGACAATGCAGTAGATAAACTGTTAAAATTAAATGAAAGTGAAAGGTGCTTTCGACATGAAAGGAATGTCAACTTTAATTATGAAACCCCTGGTCACTAGTAACCGTGAAGGCCATTGATTGCTGTTGACTTATAAGATTTCAATTACTAGTGCAGGCTTCTATCAGTATTGGTACAGTGGTAATCTTTTATAAAGAAGTGGGTAATTTGTAAATTTTGCTGAAGACATTTCTAACATAAAAAAAATGTTAACGAAATAACCAATAATTATGTAAGGATAAATATACTTACTGTTGACGTAATAGGTTCCATGAATACCACGAAAAGGTTTATCTAAGAAACCAGAGAGAAGAATATTAGTGGAAGGAAAAGGTGAGGTGAATATTACTGGTGACGTGTAGTTGCCACAGTAGATTTCAAATTCACGATAAAACTTAGAACCTATTGAAAAAAAAATAAATTAAACACTATAACACAAAACATTTAATTTATGCAATTTTAAACTCATTTTTCAAATGAATCTTTTTTATATTTATAAAGTTCCAGTTTGAAATGAAACTAAGTTTTCAGTAGTTTCATCTATAAAGATAAATTATCCTAACAGACGGGGATCACCCATATGAAACACGAGATTCATAGTCGAAGTGCTGAAGGTGGAAGGGAATGGTGTTGCATCCCGTTAATAAGAAAAGATATTTTTTCAGCTTTTAGGCTTATAATATAGCGAATCTATATACAGAGGCTGTTCGCACATTTTTTAGACGATTTTGGAAAGCAGTAATAAAACTTCGTTTGCTGCAAAAGAAGTAATTGCAATTGTACTATGTTTTTAAAAGTCAAAATTATCGTCTGTGGCTTGAACATTTTGTTTTTATTCAAAATGGCGAATTTAACAAAGCAGTGGTTCGAAAGCTACATTTACGCTCTTTCCGAAGAGAAATATGCATACTCCGTTATCCAAAAACTATGTGAGAGTCATGGTTTTGTGATATCTAAAGCTTCGATAGGTAATATCATCAACAAGAAAGGAAAAAAAATGTCAAATTGGAGCCTCAAGTGGGACAAAAATTCCAAACAAGTATCCAAGGAAAAAACAGACATCTTCAACTATTGCAAAGGTACGTTGTTTAATGTTAAAAGAAAATCCCCCTAGTCAAAGAACAGTTGCAAAATCATTAAAATGCTCGTGTCCGATTGTGTCTACTGTAAAAAAATGATAAACGTTGATTTAAATCTTAAGAAAGCGAAAAAACGCAATATGCATCATCTTCATCCAAAGCATATCGCTCAACGCAGGACACGCTGCAGAATTCTATATGAGAAACACTTATCCAAAGAAAAATGGAAAACAATTGTCAAAATAGATGAAGCATGGGTGTATTTAAATGATTGTAACAAAAAAGAGCCATTTATTAACATACAAAGGGAGAAAAAAAATTAAGTACATGGTTCAAAGAATCGAAAAAAGTTTTTCTAAGGGATTCATGATTGTTGCTGGTTTTTCTTATAATGGCAAGTTAAAATAAAGAGAGTGCAAAACAATGTCAAGATTAACTCCAAATACTATCAGGAACATATTTTTGTCGCCAAAATTTTCTGAATGAAATACCATCGATTTACACACAACAGTGCGCTTTACCCCATCTGCGAGACTCCATCAGGACAAAAGCTAGCAGTCACACATCAAAATCCACTGTAAATTTCCTAAATGAAATGAAACAAAGAATTGTTATCAAGGCCATACCCTTCACCGATATCCCTACTAAATCTCCCGATGTGTCACCTATGGATTTTCATGCTTTCGGACTTTTAAAAACTGCATTATCCATACGTTGTCCCAAAACCCTAACAGGATGTTCGGGAGGAATGGGATAGAATACCTCTTCTGCCACTTCAAAAGGCAGCGGTGTCGAAAGATAGTTAAGAATACGGGATGTCAAATAGAACATTTAAAACACAAGAATTTTATGTAATTTAGTTTTGTGAATACAATATACATCGTCTAAAAAATGTGTGAACAGCCTCTGTATTTATTATTCTTATTATTTTCGTGATAATAATAATAAATATATAGATACATAGGATTTATTATTATTATTTACGTGTTCCGCCCTAAGGCACTACACGGAGCGGAAGGATGCCTTCGAGCAGGACTTTCTAAGAGAACACACATTTGAATCTCTTAACATTACTAACAAAAAAACGTATAAATGTAAGATATTTATTAAATTCAAAACACAAAGTAAATTTAAAACTATACTCACTATAGAAATAATGAATTGATAAAAAAATGTTTGCAAATACAAAATACCGGGTGATCAAAAAGTCAGTATAAATTTGAAAACTTAATAAATCACGGAATAATGTAGATAGAGAGGTAAAAATTGACACACATACTTAGAATGACATGGAGTTTTATTAGAACCAAAAAAAGTTAAAAAAAATTTACGATTTTTATGCAAGATGGCGCTCCACCCCCATATTGCTAGACGCGTGAAAGATCTCTTGCGTGCGTCGTTTGGTGATGATCGTGTGCTCAGCCGCCACTTTCGTCATGCTTGGCCTCCCAAGTCCCCAGACCTCAGTCCGTGCGATTATTGGCTTTGAGGTTACCTGAAGTCGCAAGTGTATCGTGATCGACCGACATCTCTATGGATGCTGAAAGACAACATCCTACGCCAATGCCTCACGATAACTCCGGACATGCTTTACAGTGCTGTTCACAACATTATTCCTCGACTACAGCTATTGTTGAGGAATGATGGTTAACATATTGAGCATTTCCTGTAAAGAACATCATCTTTGCTTTTTCTTAATTTATTATTGCTTTTCTGATCAGATTATTGCTTTTCTAATAAAACCCCATGTCATTCTAAGTATGTGTGTCAATTTTTACCTCTCTATCTACATTATTCCGTGATTTATTAAGTTTTCAAATTTATACTGACTTTTTGATCACGCGGTAATTATAAAAATAATTTCTAATGATAGTGAATGAGACTTGTTCCAAAATCAACGGACAAACAAATTTTGTACAAAAACCAATATTTGTACAAAATTACCATAATCCATAGAAAAACTGCTATAGTTCGTACAAAAATTACCACAATCGAAAAGTGCAAAATATAAGGACAAATGGATTGTGCGTCTTTTTGGTGATCTTCAACAGGAGTTTGGTGTAAGGAAAGAAGTAAAATTAAAAGCCTGTTTCTGAACTGAAAAATGCACAAATGTAGTGAAGTAATCATAAATCAAAAAATTACAACATAAATTAAATCAGTATGTACACCTTGTACAAAATAAATGAAACTTTAATCTCCCGTTCTACTACAGTTGTCGAAATTTAACTTGTGTTTTCCATGTCTCGACTTAGGATATATATTAGATTTATATACAGCATTGTTCGAACGTCGGTATTTTGACACAAAATCGGACTTTTTTTCTGAGATAGCATACCAACTGTTTTCCATATTTCGATTCTAATTATGCCTAGATATCAAATTTTGTAATTTTTAGTGAGGAATTTATGGAGAAATTTTAAAGTTAATCTTGGCGCATTTTTTCAGTTTGAGCCAAGAATAATTCAATTGGCAAACTTCGTAATTTATGGCAACTTATTTCCTTTCCTTTTCTTCATTGCACACGCGGGATAGCCGCCCAACCGGTATAGTGGTTAGCGTTGCTGACTCCCGTACCGAAGGGTCCGGGTTCGAATCCCGGAGAAGGCATGGATGTTTGTAAATGTTTAATAAAAAAGTTGTAAAAACGTTGTTAATTTCAATATTAACCCTCACGGATTGGAGGAAACGGCGTTCGCCAAAGTCCTCATCTTCTTTCTTCTTGCTTAAAAAGCAAGATTGATACAGATACAGATACAGATACACGCGCGATAAAGGTCATCATTCATAATTTCAAACAATTTTAACTAAGTGCGTAAACCACATTTAGCGTTATTATTGCTTATAATAAATATGCCAGATTTCAAATCGCGCGAATATGTAAATTCACTTATATCTGTCCCATTTTATTTTGTGCAAGATGTACATTACATATGCTTTAAATAACAATCAAAAACGTAATTTAGAGAGAGACATTTTGGCAATGCTTCAGGAAATCCGGTTGTCTTGTTAACTCACATACATTAATTGCGCCGTTTTCGGCGAATGTTTTCTGGAAATCGCTTCTGTATATTTTCAGAAATCATAAATAATTTGGGGATGAATTGATAGGTATGAAATGTATTTTTTTTAAATTTTACATGGTTAAACTTTGTGAATTCCAAGAACCCACACGTATACCGTATATACCCGCGTATAATTCGATACCGCTTATAAGTCGACCCCCCCCCCCCACTTCGAGATAAAAAATTCGTAGAAAATAAGAAACTCGCGCATAAGTCGACCCCCCACTTCCGAAATCAATCGAGAAACTTAGAAAAAAAATTTAAGTACTACATTTATTCAAAATCATATGAGAAAAAAAAGTAAATATACGATAAAAAATATCTTGGTAAATAAACAAAATCAAAATCCTTCAACGTCCGATTCATGGTCAGATTCGCCAAACATTTCATAGAACTCTTCTGTCGTCATTGGCTCTTCATCATACATATTTTCAGTCTCGAACTCTGTATTGTTACAATCACTACCAGAGCCTACGTCGTCATTTTCACTTTCAAAAACAGCATCATCTTCCGTGCCGTCTAGTTCGTTGCTAATACAACATTTTTTAAATGATTTTATAATCATTTCAGAGGGTATTTCGTTCCAAGCATTTTTAACCCAGTGAGCAATTAATGCAATATCGGGCTTTTTAGTGTTCGGGAGCCGAAACTTCTTTGGTTTAATCGAAGCTTACTCTAGTTAAAGTATGAAACTCTGTAATTAGTTCGTCACATAAATTTAAGTCTTGAAATTACTTCAAGTAAGTGACTTATTTGATAAGTCGTCCAATTTGAGTGCGGGAAGAAAACAACTGCATTATATAAAGAAATTTTTGAACTTCCGATTCTTTTAATTTTTTATGGCCCCGCGTATAAGTCGACCCCCCACTTTGAAGTCTTTTTTTTTTGTCCAAAATATCTCGACTTATACGCGGGTATATACGGTAGTTGGTTACGTTTCGTTAATTTTAGTTGTATAACAAGGGGAAGCATTTTTAATATAGTTTTAGCGCTTATTTATGTTGCTTAGAGTTCTATTTCAGAGCCGATATAATAAGCTGTCTATCGTACGGAAATTTTAAATTAGGAATTGTTTAATAGTGAATTAATCTGTTACGCTGTTGCTGACGTTTGTACCATCTCCAGCTTGATTACAGCCAAGAACCATGGATATAATTCCATGGAACTTCGACAGGATATAATTAGAGTTCTGGCAGTTTTAGTAGTGCACACGACGTTGAATCCGGTCATCCTCATTGATGGCAAAACTTCTGTGCTGAGTTTCATTGAGACTACAGAAAGTAATATTTTTTAAATATTATCATGTTTCGGAGTAGCAAAAGCTAGCTGTATATGTCTGTTCTTAGGGAGGACAAGCGTCGATTTATTTCTATGAAAGTATTATGTAAGTTTTGATGGGATATGTATAAATTTGGTATTTTAAAAGCGAGGAACATTCATTTGCGAGACGAAAAGCGAGGACATTTCGTCTTGTGAAAGAGAGAGAAGAACTAAATTGAAAAATCACCCGTAAGAGAAAGCTTGAATCTTAACAATATGCATGAAGTTATGAGCAATGAGTTAACAGAAGGAAATTAAGATAATTACGTTACCGAGTCGAAACCAGATACTGAGCTAATCCATTCAAAAACATTCAGATTGCTGCGTCGGGTTCAAAATTTTGTCGAATTACCTAACCTCAAGAGTATAGAGGAGTTTTTTCGAATTAGCAGTAAAGTATGAGAAAGGTTAGCTCAAAATTAGAATTGCAGTAAATTCAATTTCCCTCGAGTGGTTTTAATTACTATTTGTCGAATTGAATGACTTTCATTGATCTCAACTTTTATTTTTTAAATTTCTCTTTCTTTCGATAAGAATTTAAATTATAAAAATTTAAGATTTTGGTCTATTAATTTAAATAAATTAATTGTTTAAAGATTTGATTAAGTTAGATTAATTCCGTCGATTTCATAGATTTTAAATGATTAATTTGAATTCATTAATGATATTTTAAATGTAACTACTTGGAATTTTTTCTATAATATTTTTTTACACATTTTAATTTCCTGATTTCGCAAAAAGTACCTTACCTTATTTTCTAATAGCCTTTCCTATACATTATCATTTCTAGTCTATGTTTCCCTGCCAGAATAAGTTTCCAGGGTTACTATTTATGCAAATGAGGTAGAAACGAGTATTTAAGCTAAAGATTGGTCACTTCACTAGGTCATAGACAATGCATTTTTTCTTAGCTCTGTATCTTAATCTCAGCGTGAAGGCGAATTTTTCCCTAGCTTTGTTTTAGTTCCTAACTTTGCCGTTTGATGACTGAGCTTCGGCAAAATGTACCCTACAAGATGTAGGGCCCTGCTGTGCTTATTTTCGTGTTTGTTGCTACTGCCTCTTGTTCTATAATGGAGAGTGTGATCAACTATATTCCTACGGAAATCACAAACCTCGAGCTACAAGCCAAGGTTTACAACAAACTTCCTGACAAAGATGCTCGCGACCTGGCTTTTTTAAGACGATTAAAAAGATTCATTGACCAGGAGCTACTGCAAAAGTAAGTTAGTTCTTCTGGTACTGCTACTGCTGCGACTTGCAATGAAAGCTACAATGAAGACTTTCCTCAACTTCTAACTGCTGAACTGAATGTCAGACGCCTGAAAAGGTCCTGCATGTTCCCTATGAAGACCTTAGAAAATACAAAGCTCTGGACCAAAGTTCAGATTCGTATAACGGTCCGAAAGAAGACGCTGCGAAACACATTCGAAAGCTTGTTCGTAAGTTCGCTCCTCCCCCTTTGCCTCCCTAGCCTTCTGATTCGCCTACTGCTGATCCGGCTGCTGCTACCTCAAAATCAGACGCTATAGACATCACTCCAACTATACGGTTGCCATCTGGAACCAATTAAAAAAATCTTGGGACGAAAACTACCACCATAAAAGATAAAAGACTGACCTTCACTTAAGTCGAAGCTCTACTAGCTGGATATAATCTGCAAGCTGAACGTTATTATTATTATGGACAGTTAACCCAGGGTGGCTTTACAATCTGAAACACCTACATGGTAGAGACAAATTATGAAAGTGCTCGATGTAGGAGTTCCATACCACTGCTTCGAGTTCCAGAAAAGCAAGAGCATTAAATCAGTAATCAAGAGTTTGTTTACTTACTTAGTTTGTTTACTTTATTTACACACAAATTGACGAAATTACTGATGAACTCGTCGGTAAAGGATATATAGTGTCACGCGGGTAAATCGGTTAAGACGCAGTGGCCCTGAAGTGGTAAATCTTCCAATCCTTTTAGTGATATTAAAGAGGAAATAAAACATCGAGGAACTATTTCAAGAAGGATTCATATTTGGTATGAAATGGGACGTTACCGTGCATGTGCTGAGCCTCTATTGTGTTTCCGCTGTCAGGAGTTTCACCATACATAAACGCACTCCAACCATAATCCCAAATGTGTTCAATGCGGTGACTCACAGAGTCGTACAAATGTGATAAAAATAGAAGTACCCCTCCAAAGTGCGCCAACCGCCAACAGGTGGGACACACGGTGAAGTATCTTGGGCGCGAAACGTTCCCTAAGCCCAAGTTCCCACACACACGTTAAATCTTATATGGTCAGAGTGATCACCAATTAATCATACGCACGAGCACTTGCAAGCGGTCTCGCACCAGAAGCGATTAATGAGGCCAAAAACATCCTCACTGAACTCAAAAGTTTTGTTTTCATAATCAAGGAGTCTGGGCTCCTTTTAATCATTCATTAGTTCATTTTATTCAAACATCTCACTCAAGATATAAAACTACATCTCAGAATACTACAAAACCCGATCATGGATAAATTATCAGAAACTGCAAATCTAATGCGTTTCGTAGTGTGGAACTCGAATGGTCTCCACAATAGAAAGCACGAACTGCAGGAATTTTGATATGACCGTGACAACGACATAGCGCTCATTACTGAATCGGACGCACAAAAGTGCCATCGCCTTAACATTAAAAATTACCATATCTGTCGCTGTGATCGAACAGAAATCGCGGGGGTGGTGTTGCTATTTATGTCAAACAAAATTTACAGTATTGCCTTGTCAAAGCAAGCAATGATTGTGTATTCCCCTACTGGTATATAAAGACTTATACTTCAGTGCCTTCTGTAATATAATCCGCCGTTAAATCACCTATCTGAAAATCTGCTGGACTTAATCTTACCCCCGGATGTGCTTACAATACTCGCAGATGATTAGATGGTAAAAGTATTTCTTGGAGCTGTCGCCGTAGCAATTCAAATGGGAAAAATCTTCAAGAATACATTTTAAATCCGTATGTTCTAATTTATACACCTCAGAGTACACCTATCAACCAAATAGGGTATAACACTCTGGGATATTTTAGACATAGCTATCTCTACAATTACGGTAACTATTACACTTGAGGTGGTTCGTGAACTATCGTCAGACCATCTCCGATCATTGGAACCCTTGGTGTTTTAAAAGACGACTTACTACTAGAAGACTAGACTTACTACTAGACCCACTACTAGAAAATTTACAGTTTGGAAGCTCTGCGAAAACATTATGAAAAACTCTGCTATCAATCTTAGTGACTTAAACAATGTTCATGGCATTGATTCTGTTCTTCAATCGCTGCGCAAATTCAAACAGCTGTTGAAAAGCAAGTGAAACTGCTAACAAGAACGAAGTGCTTCTCTGACTTCCCAGACAAATCCGACAAATGATGAGGCAACGAAAGCATCTTAGAAACGTTTGCCGTCTTACCTGGGATTCCGCCGCCAAAATGGCCATAAATCGCCTCAACTGGGACACTAAAAAAAAGAGGCGAAAACTCGCAAGGAAGAGATGTGGAGTGAAAAACATCTCTCAACTTAGCATTTATGACGGTTCGTTTTGGCCATTACTTACGAACCTTAAGTCACATTATGTTTGAAATCGCCCTCTTTTCCACAACGGCAAAGTGGCTTTATCTAATAAAGATAAAGTTGATATTTTTGCTTCTCATTTAGAAGGACAGTTTATACCGAATGAATGCCCAGTTGATACAGACTTTCTATGTTATTATGTGTACGAGACTGGCTAAATGCACCTTTCGCTAAAACTATATTTAAATCAGCTGAAGTTACGCAAATAATTAAAAGACTGAAACCGCGCAAAGCACGCGTAAAAGATTGAGTAAAAAACACAGCAATCAAGAAATTACCTTCTAATGTAGTTTTCAAATTAAATGAATGACTGTTTAATTCTTATTTCCCGAAGAAATGAAAAAGTGAAAAAGCCATACTAATTTCAAAACCTGATAAACACTATACAAAACCCAACAAATAACATTCTATAAGCCTGCTACCAGTTCCTGTAAAAATCTATCAAAGGATTTTACTTTCCCAGATAAAATCTTTACCAGATGCAATCTTACCTAGTTATTAACTTCGAACAATTGGCATTTAGAGCCAAACTTTTCATTACGAAGTAATTAGTGAGAATCACGGAGTTTGCAGGCTCCGCGCTTCATAACAAACAATTCCGCTAATTTTTTTGATAGTGCAACAGGATTCTGCTAACTACGTATTTTTGTTAGTGTAACATTTTTTATGGCATGTGTGCCTTTATTAATCATATTATGTGATATTATTATAATTATTATATGATATTGTGATGTGTGCCTTTATTAAATCTTCGGGAAATATTTAAAGCGAAAAAAAGGCTAAAGCAACCTTTTTAGAACTTTTGCATTTCTGAAGATACTTAAAAGAGGAGAGAAATTTCAATTGCCCCAAAAGATTTGCTAAGCTCGGAGTCAATTAAAAGAACACTGCAGATTCAAAGTTATATAAAAAGTAAATAATATTCATATTACTATAATTTTAAAAAATGCTTTGCATGGCAATTAATTAATTATGTTATATTTAATGGCTTATCTTTCTGTCTGTTTCTCGATAAAGGTGTAAACGGTTGTAATCTTTTCAATATATTTTCTTTGCATTGAAAATAATTCTGAACCAAGAACAGACTGTCATATCAAACTGTATTAGTTGGTCTCAGTGAGGAAATTATTTCAAAAAAATATATTGTTCAAGAGGCAACTAATAAAACTCTCACTGAATTAATAATCTTTAACAGTGAACAAGAATTTACCACTGCCCCTTCCTGGTTTAACGTACATTCCACCTTGAGAACAATATTTGGCCCTGAGACCTGGGACATCTAGCACATGCAATTTGAACACAACCGTGATGTTATCCAGACGATCTCCAAACACAGACCATTTGCAATCCACATAAGAATCCCTCATTCTGGTAAACATTGGAGTAGAAATACTTCCACTGGGCAAAAGCAGATTTCCTCCGCAAACTGCAATGACACAAGTAAAGCAGTTTCAAATAAATAATAAAATATACAATTCAAATACAAAGTTATTGTTTAATATACATTAAGAGGGGGAACTAAGCGACATGAGTAAAGTGACTGTTTTTATTGCAATAAATAAGCCTAAAGCCCATACACCAGTAATGAAATGATTAAAAATTCTACTCAAATCATTGAACCTTCCTGACAGCGGTGCATGCTTGTAAATGTTTTGAGGTAAAGAGTGATAAAAATTCCTAATCTCATACTGCGATGCATTGTGTCAGGCATTACTCAATTTGTTGCTCCAGATCTGCGACATTTTATAGTATCCTTATCTGGCAGCCTACCTTCTCCCATACATGTTCGATTTGCGATAGGACTGCTGACCTTTCTGGGTAAGAAAGTGTATCTTCAGCTAAATAGAGCACAAGAGAGACCTCAGCCGTATGGGCTGTAGCGCTATCCTGCTGGAAAATGGTTGCAGGAGGACAACGTAAACGGCCTCAGGATATCATAAGCATATCGTTGAGCTGCTATAGTAGTATGTAAGACGACAGGTGTCGGCTTGTTGCAGTAGGAGACAGCTCACCACACCATAACCCCAGGGGTAATCTAAAGCAAAAGGTGAGTGGTACCTCTGGCCTGTTGTTCCTCTACTCGCGGATCCAATGATTACCTTCTCCAAGACTGAAGCGGGATACATAGCTGAACACTATGTGAAGCCAATCGGTTGAAAGCCAAATTACCGGCTATGGCACCAGACAACTATGTATATGTTGTGAGGTAAAAGGTAGACATCTTAAAGCCTGCTGTTGGCGCAACGGCTTTAAGGGTCATAATGCAACGCCTTAAAAGCCGCTTTGAGTGCTTGGCTCAGCTGCCTCAACCAAGCACTGTAAGATTGTGGAAGTTGCCAGTGGTGGTATGGACGAGGCTATAACACGTTGAATAGCGAAAAATGATGCCTTTGGAACAGTTCGAGGCTGTTGCAAAATCACCCGATCTTGCCTCGCATTCGTGCACTTTTGTGTTCCAGAGCCACCGATAACTACCTTTCATCAACTATCATTGCGAGAATCTTTGCGCAGCTGTGTCGTACGGTGTAGGTGAGGTTCTATTGCTTGATATAACTAAACCCGCGTCATGCATCTTTCTGCAATCTTTAACGTCGACAATGAGAAACCGTATGAAATTACTACCTGTTTTATAAAATGATAATTCTGGAGTATAAACGTGTGCTATGACTGAAGTTAGACTTTACTAACCTTGAAACTTTAATCATTTTCATATATCAGGAAATTTGCATATAATATTTTGAAATAATTGGATTATTTATAGAGTGCTTTCTTTTTTTCCAAAAGAATGCAGAAGGAACACTTACTTCCCTTCTCTTCTGTTGAATAAGTTAAAGAGAAACCTTGACCAGCTGCAAGTCCTTGACTGAAAAATTTTACCTGAAGAATATTACCAATGGAATGTATTGCAGGAGGAAGTGAGCTGCCACATAACTGAGGAGCAGGTTTAATATCCTTATGACGTCTACGAAAAACATTAGTCACCTGAAACAAAAAGCAAATGTAACATAAAGCCTAACATTTCGTTGCTCTAACAAAATACTACACTTTTGAGGAATCATTGGTTTGAATATCGAATATTGAGGATAAAGAAACATGACGTGTTTAGACAGCAGCACGCTATCTCCCAAAATAGTTCATTCTTCTATAAAAATATAGCTCATCAAAGCATTTCATGTTTAATTACTACCTAAATTATTTAAAATCTAACTTCATGATAGTAGCTTTAATAACATTACACGATAGTTAAAGGCTTTGTTAGAAGGAAAATTTACTTTTAGGCCTCCTTGTATATTTTGTAGCAATGTAAGCAAATATTTACTTCGTAAACTTTTGCTTGCTTTACTTTGGTAACTAATGGAATATTCCATTTGCGTTAATATTATTAAGACTCATTTGATGAATTATCTTTAATGTTTTTTTAATTTATTTATTGGAAATATATCCCTTAATATGACAGTTTTTTGTTTTAATATTTTAAAATTATCTCTTATTTTGTATTCTTTCAGTATGTGATTCTCTTAACTTATCCTTCCGTATGCGTAGGCAAGTGAGCGGCCTGACATAGTTTAAAGGAAACTGATTTTTAGCATATATAACAATAGCAGTACTATTTTACGAGCAGCGTGTTGGTAACGTTTTATTAATATACACTACCCAACATTGAAAATGCAGCACCAAGAAGGAGTGGCCAGAAATTGATGAAACTCAACGAACAGAGAGACAGAAGGAACAAGGCTCCATAGCCGAAAGCGGAAATTTCCGCTACGGCGTCACAGAATATCCCAAAAACTTATAATAACCTGAAAGATGAAGTAGTAACCTTAGCACTCGTCGACCTATTGCGGACCGTTATTCCGGTGAGAGTTGCCAATGTATCTAACAAGGCAGAATTTAGTTTGTTATTAAGAAAGGTGAAGTGGTTGCAGCATGTACTCCAGTAACCAGCTTTAAATGAAACAGTAACACCCCAGAATCTATGTCTTCAGAAACCATTACGTGGGAGTTATTACATAATGCACAATTAAACGATGAAGAGAGGAAGGCTGCAGAACGTGTCATTCAAGACCTTCACGATATTTACTACCGCTCGTCTTCTGACGTGGTTCGAACCAGTTGGGCACAGCTTAGAATCGATAAAGTCGATTATTCCTCAATAAAGCAACGTCCAAGACGTCTACTGATTGCTAAACAGGAAGAGGTTGGAAAATTTCTAAAGGACGTGGAAGAAAGCGATGTGATCGAGCCTTCAGCAAGTCCATGGGCATCGCCCATTGTTCTATTTAGAAAAAAAGACGGTTAAACCAGATATTACGTTGATTACCGCCGGCTGGATGAGGTTAGAATACAGGGCAGCTACTCTCTTTCTAGAATTGACGACATTCTGGGCACTCTCTCAGGAGGCAAGTAGTTTTCGACACTTGGTTTAAAGAGTGTGTATTGACAAGTAGAAATGCATCCTGATGACCAAGAAAAGACTACATTTACTACCGGAAAAAAAACTTTGGCAGTTCAAGGTGATGCCGTTTTGACTATGTAATGCGCTAGCAACATTCGAGCACTTCATGGAGTTTGTTTTGAAAGGTCTTTCCCACGAAGCGTTCCTACTAATGACATAATTATCGTCGGGAAGAGTTTTGAAGAACATCTAGAAAATCTTAGAAAAGCGCTTCAGAAAATGAAAAGTTTCTAAAGTTGAATCCCGCTAAATGTAAATTATTCAGACAGGAAGTGACCATCTTGAACAGAAGCTTTACAAGTGGCTAAGTAATTAAGATTTCAGAATGCCAGAAGTTTACCCCGGGTACGAACCAGAAGAACGAGCTGGCTGCATGGTTGTTTTTGCGGTTCCGAGCGAATTTCTGTAAACATTCCCTCACCTTTCCCTTACGCAGATAAAATTGATGTGCTTTACAATATTAAAATAATCTAACGTAACCTAAAATAACCATCTTCAACAAAACCAACAGGTAGCTTTTGGTTGTCAATGTTTACCAGCCCAGTACACCGGAAAGTGAGAATCACCTGATGTTGCTCGGCTCTCGTTTGTAGACTTCCAATATAAGACCTTTCTAGTTTAAAGAATAATGCGGTTTTTGATAAACAGGCAATTTGTTATTACATGTGAGAATAAAATTTCCATTATTGGCTATCTGTGACTTCAAGCAGCATCATATCGAGAATTCTATCTCTGATTGTAGTACAACAGATTGTATAATAACAATATTGTTGCGTGCATGCTGGTTCGTAATAGAAATGAATGCACACAGAATTCATGATATCTTGATAAAATTTATTTTACCAAAAGAAAAACATGACATAATGGAACTTTCTACAAAAATACTCGTACAGCTCTTCAGAGTATCACACAATATAATTAGTAGTTACACTTCAAACTACTAAGAATGTTAAACACAAAGGAATGCAAAGCGCGTCTAAAAGGCCAAACTCTCACAGATATCCCAATACTCCGAATTCATCTCTGAACTAACCAACTACTCAGAAACTGATGCTCTACCCAGTCTTTTAAATAGATATCTTCCGGTCGCCGAAGGGATTTCTAGTACCTTCCACTTCTTGAATTATTGAAGGACATACAAGGGCCAGATACGGTTACAGCTACATATCTAGATTAATTATAATTATTCAGTTAGAAAACCCATTTAAATGCTTACCTGTTCGACAAGGTGTAGGGTTCTTTTACACAGGCACTCTGGTGTTACACCGCTTCTTTACAGTACCCATTACAGTTATTCGAGGATCAGACCAAAAAGTTGCCAGATAATTGCCAAGTTTGGTGACTTCTAGCGATCTCTCGTTAAATTCGGCAACAAAAATTAGTCGCCAAAACTATCGCCATCTTGGCGATACCTCACCAATTTAGCGAGATAGCCATTTACTCAGTGTTAAATAAACTGGCTTCTGTATTGTTACTTTTCCGGGAGAGCTTCTCTTCTTTAGATTTCCATGTTACAAAAGTAACTACAATTTCATATATAATTAACACTAAAATTATTTCCATATGTACAAAATTCGAAACAGTAAGCAGAATTTCGATTAGGAAATAATACGGTGAGGTTACATTTCTAACAAATTGCGCTTTTGAAACTGATTGTGGAAAACAATACGGTCTGATTTTGGTGTTAAGAGAGCAAACGCATTTTTAAAAGCTTTGGAAGAAACATATTATGGAAATTACTTAACGAAAAATACAACATATATCATATCTCCCATTGCAAGTTTTCTCAAACAATGGGAGTTCATAGTTTCAGAAGAGAATTCGGTCAGTCTTTTATTCAAGTCTTAAGAATTTAGCTTTAGTTTATGAAATACAAGAACTACTTTCATTCAAGTTTCAGTATTTATCAACATATATTACACTTACATGTAGTTTAACTTATAAAAATACATTAAAATATAAACTAAATCTAAATAAATGTATATGTATTTTCCAGTTTTGTATAAGGGAGGAAAATGACCTAACTGTGATGAAAGGATTGTATGGCGAAAAATAGATTAAGAGCCAATTTTCTATTTTGTTTTCTCTTTCATAAAAGAAATCTTGTTCTTTGTTTTTAATTCTCCATTTTTAGTAACTTATATACGGAATTATTGCACTAATAAATTTAAAAATAACTTACTTCTATGTAACTGAGGCATGTTCCTGTGGTGTCATCTCTTGGTAAATTAAATTGATTAAAAGTCACTTTAATTCTTCGCCCTGGAGGAGCTTTAATTCGAAAAAAACATCTTTTTTCATCTCTAATGGGATTATGGTAGTTGGAAGTAGTAATCGTCGCCAAGGGGGCTTCATAATAACGGTGACAAACTGGAAAAGGATTTTTTAAATGTAAATAAGTTTGTAATCCTAGATATTCCACTAAAGTGTACATCAAGATATAAACATACTATACAAGTTTTGGTTAGCGCCGATTACTGAGACGAAAACCAAATAAGAATAGTATTAAAAATTGCGTATTAAATTCATGTAGAAGTGTATACCAGCATGAACTGTAATTAAATTGCATAAAAAAAGTTTTGTTTTCAGGATAGGCGTAGATACTTACGATAATTAATTATGTATTTTACCAAAGTGGTAACTTCAGTTTGTATAATATGAGACTCAGTAAATTGTACTAAATTATAGACGTGGATTAGGCGATTTTAGATGTGGTTGCTGCCAGAAGTGGCAGATTTGTGTACTGAATTCTGGAAGTTGAGAAACCCCAACCACTTGTAAATTTAATCATACTTTCCTATAATTATACTGTTAAACGTGCAATAAACAATATTCTGCTATTTGCGTTCCTTCCTGTTGTAGCAATTGTAATGGTTGCCAAACGTATTTGTTATTTTCTTATGAACCTCTACCAGAATGTAATTTGTTTGAACGATCGAAATTTGCATCTTTATATCAGAATCTATCTCTTAGTCAGGCTCAGTTCTATTTAATACGCAGTGAGCGCATATGCATTTTAAGGTATTGGTATCTCGTTCTAATATATTGGTATCTCGACCAATTGTGCATTTTAAGGTATAAAGTCCAAACATTTGGTTATGTACTGATAATGTGTTTTTATGCTGCTGGTACATATAAGGCTACTCAAACGGGATAGTGGTTAGGAATGCTGACTACCGTAGCGAAGGGTCCGAGATCGGGTCTTAGAGAAAGCATAGAAAATTTTAAGCTCATATTATCTTCACATCATAAGCCACCACGTGGATGGAAAAGGCATGCATTTTTGTAATATTAATGTTATAAATAACATTATAAACCTCTACATCTCATAATAGCATTATAAGCTATTATGTGATCTCCATCGTGCGGTAAGGGGGCACTCAAAGTGCACACGGTAATAAGCAATCCTCTTGAAAGGTTGGTGTAGGGAAGGAAGAGTGGTAGACCCTTGAACGACCCTCCCCGGTATATTCTCCTTCGGAATTCCATCCGAAGTGGAAAGGTAGCAGTTAGCAAGGTCTGGTGATGCTTAATATGCCTACATGAGTGCATAGTATATGCCACCTTGCTTCAACTTGTAACTTTTGGTAAATTACGTTATGCCGCCCAGTCGTTTAATGGTCAATGATGCTGAATACCATACCGATGGCTCCGGGTACTAATTCCAGAGAATTTATGTATGTTTGTGAGCGTGTATGTTTGAATTTCACAAGAGGTCCTGCTTTTAAGACTGCATTTATTTGTGGAACACTTCCTTTTGCAATGACAGCGTGTACATATACTCCTCTCTTTTCGACCTACACCAGAGTGATATCTGTGATTGTCGACATACACCGGTGAGGGTCCGAATGTGCAAGAATGTAATGCAATATTCGATCTTTCACTTACGCATTTGGTGAATATTGACATTCTCCAATTTCGGTCTTTTACGGTAACATATACATCTCATAATATTGTAGCAGAAATTTCTTTTAAGTTTTCTTGAGATAACCTTTTCCTGGACCTATGTCCCTTGAAACCTTCTGGAGCCTGACCATTTAGGGAGCAAATAGCGTTGTCTTTTATGGTCATTAAAGAGCCTACATTCATCCCTTTCGGTATCAATTGAGTTCGTCGAGAACAATTAGTTACCATCAGACTAATGGCTTAGCTGAAAGATTCAATAAGACATTGGCAGACATATTGTCCATGTACGTAGACGTTGAAGAGAAAAATTGGGATACTCTTTTACCACTTGTACCCTATGCCAATTCAGCCAAACAGACACAACGGGTCAGCCCTTTCTCATATGGCAGATATCAGATCTCTCGACGTAATTTTCCCATCAGTATCGAGATCCCGAAGTAGTTATGGCAACATCTGATTACTAGAGTGAAGAAGCTAGACAGCTTTCAAAACCATATTCTTAAAACGCAAACCACGAAAAGGGCCGATACGACGAGAGACATTGACCGTCAGCATCTACAACATCGGAGACTTGTCTGGGTCTTCACTCCAGAAAGGTGCTTACCGAAAAGTCCTAAGCGTTACTTAGACCGTATCGCATAACACACCGCTTCTGACGTGACGACGGAACAAAATAAGAACAGCGGAATTCAAGATCATTCACACATTGAGATTGAAGCTCTATCTTGATCCAAATGTACAACTAAACGAGAAAAAGAGCCCAATTTCCGGAGACCTGTACAAGAAGCCAAGCAGCGGGCCTGCTTCTTCCTAAAAAGGTAAATGTAGCGAAAATTGCTCTTTTCGACCGAGTCCTCATGCTTAGGAGAGACGCAGGACCCGGGTCCCGGTCGAAACCCATACGGCAAATCCTGATAATGGGTTTTTGTAATTCCTTCTGTTATGTTATCTTATTTATGCAAATTCTCTATTCTTCCAGCATTCCGAGTTTGATGTTCACCAGTTGTATATAAGTAGCTTTTCATTCAGTTCGAGTTAATAAAAAGTCTTGAGTTTAGACTTGAATACTTGCCTGTTCATTTGTAGGATCCCCTCATCTACGCGACAATATGCAAGAAATAGGAAAAACTAATATTTTGCTTATAAGATATGGTTAAAATTGTACATGCAGAAAAGGATTTTAATACAAGTAGGCGAAGATATTAATTGTCTACCTAAATAGATTTGGATTTACTACATTATGGGAAGTATCTTAAAGTATACTACCTGATAAGGATGTTTTTGTGCCTAGGGATGCTTTCGTTGAGGATTTCCTGAGGGGAAACTAGCTCTTGCTCAAATTACGGAAAGGAGAAATCTAAGAAAATGTGCTTGTAGGCAGTCTGTTCTCGGATCGAAATTCTAATTCGTCTCCGGATCTTACCTGCTGGGCCACTAAGGAGAAAAGATGACTTTATGAATGCCTTTCTAAGAAGAACTGGCTCTTCTTGTTGCATATGGGGGAAAATCAGGAAGACATCTATGCATCCAGTAATTCCGCCAGTATTTGGAATTTCGACCAACTTTCAGTGTTCAGCAATCTTCTATGTGGACTATATATATTACAGATACAGTTGTTAATCACATTTATTGATTTTACGCCATCCGATGTGGTGCCTGTGTTCGATTTCTTCCCAATGTATGTAATTTTAAACATGAAATAAGTTGTGCGTAGAAACAAAATTGCTTAATATATTGCATTGATGTGCTGTATGATAAAACATAGCAAAGATTCTAATTCAGAAGTCAAACAACAAAATTTTTGTTGTTTGACTTCTGAATTAGTATTTATTCGGCGTGTTATTGTGTCTTAATTATAGCAAAGATTATCTGAAACTCAGAAAAAAATCAATAAACTACGTAGTACTATATTTGACAAGTGATACTGCATTGCTTTCAGAGAATCTACCTGGTAATAACAAAAGCATTTTTTTAATTTGAATGTAAACTGTCGCTAAATTTAAATTTATAATGGAAGATGATTTTGCATTGTATTCTGATAACATTAAGAGCATTGATAGTCTTCATTTACGGCATAGAACGCGAAATGAAAACATTCATGTTGTATCTGAAGGCATGATACAACGTACTACGTATACTTACACAAACACACTCACAGAAAAAAAAAAGGAATTGGTTAAAGAGGCAGAATATTTTTAAGTAAAAAAAAAAATAAATAAATAAACGTGAATACTTCATTAATACCACGGACCTGAGACACAGAATATGGGAACACAGAACTGATACATTATTGTTATTACATTTGTCTATACTAGATTGAGTTCGATTATTGACTGTACAAGACTGCAGTTGTCGCTGACAGAGCCTTGAGCATTATATAGGAGATAGTATGATTTTGCAATGTTCCACCCCAAAATTAAGAGCCAAGTTTTTTTGAGGGTTTCCCACCTCTCTTTCTAAGTATTTTAAGTTTTACTAACGTTTATTTTATTTTAAAACTTTGCTATCCTCTCTTATTTTCCATTTCCAGCCAGAATAAGCGCGAGTAGATTTGTTTTATGCTAACGAGGTTGCAAACTGTGTAGGTATTTAAGTTGTGACTTTTAGTCAAGGAAGAGAGAGAGACTTCTTACTACTTTACCTTCTTACTGTCTTTTCAGTCAATTTATGTCAGCTTTTATGGCCAGAACTTAGTTCTCGCTGATATTTGAAGAGGTATTGTAGTTTTTTGCATTTCGCTCATTACATACATAGCGTTAAAAGGCCAATAAGCAGGAGAGATGAAAAATGAGCAGCGCCTTCGCCGGAACTCAAACCACAGGGCTCTGGAATACGCGCCCGAGCGTGTTGACCACTACACTACGAAGGCATGCTAAGAAGGCGGGAGAAATGCCTTATAAGTTGTTTATTTCTCATTTTCTACGTTTTAGACCATAAGTGCTGGTCTCTGTATCCCGAAATGCGGAAGCGGCTGTACGCTGTGAAAAATAAAGAGTAAAGTCAACCCTTCGCATTTGTTTTGTATCTCTTCCACCCACGCGAGTACAGTTTGAGTAAGCTCCCTGTGCCCATTCAGGATTACTAATGTTCCCAAAGGCAATTAGAAGGAACAGCAGTTCTGACATCTTCGCCAACAAACAAATCACATGAAAGCTTGCCACATATTTATAGTGCCCCCTTGCCGCAAAGACACAATACATTTCCAAGATCCATGCTTTCTCTGGAATTCGAATTCGGATCCTTCGGCGCGGTAATCAGAGTCACTAACAGCTATCCCGTTGAGAGGCTAAACCAAAATTTTAAAACCTAAGTTATTAATTCTCCAATGATTTTTACTGAAGTGCTACGTGTCTGCTGAATTAAAACCTTACACTAAAATGAATAATGTCTTAATGTTTAATGAAAATACACTAAAATACCTAATGATTCTTGAATCGGGATGGGTCTGACTTGCGAGCTCCTGGTCCTGCCACAACGTGTACCAAGAACTTCACCTGAAATAGAAAGGTTATTATAATACATCAGTATCCTACCTTTTATGAATGTCTGTTTTAAGCCTCATCATTTTTACTAAATATCTACTTTAATATTCTTTACGATTTATGAAGGAAATCTGATGAAGACGTTTCACTACCCCTTTCGAAGAATCGTCGAAGAAGGAAGCAAAACTAGTCCGTTACTATGAAATTTTCGAAAGAAAAGTATTTTATTATAAAATTCCATGTAGATTTCAAGTAATTTTGAAGTTGTTTGTATTGTTTGAGAAAGATTGTGCAATAAAAGTTTCTCCCATTTTAAATCATAAAGCATTAAGTGTGATATCAAAAGCCTTCCGTATCAGCCACACAAAACAACAAACTTTTGATTTTCAATACCAGAGAGACAGATTAAAAAAACTGTATTGAAACTGCTGCTCTAGTGATTTGATGCATAATAAGTCGATCTTCTGTTCGTTACTCATTATTCTCATATAGTATATATCCAAGTACCCAGCTGTTTCTATTGCACAATCGCCACCCTGTAAAAAAATGCCCAAACCAGGAAACGTTTTTATGGGTACCCATAGAGTTCTATGGAACCCATGTTTTTTCTGATATTTACTGGTTTCTATTGGTTTTTACTAGTTTTTCTTAACGGTATCAAAATGCCTCATAGAAACCAGTAAAACGTTCTACTGGTACCTATACCTGTTGGATTCTACTGACTTTTACTGGTTTCTATTGATCTCTGTGGGTATTTCTTACTGGTTTCAACTGGCACCCATACAACCAACATCAATATCAGAATTTTCTACTGATTTTTATTGGTTTATATCGACTTTTACTGGTTTCAATAGATATTGATACCAATAATATTCGAAAGAGGCAAAAATAAATCTTCTATGGGTTTATATGGGCTTATACGAATTTAGAAATGCTTTTATATTTTGGAGGTGGTCATCTTTACTAAATAGGCCTCCACGAAATGTATTGCCTCCACGAAATGAGTCTCTCTGAGGTGACCATAGAAATTTATGGACACTGGTGTAAATATCTATGAACTATGGACCAATCATCTATGGACCAAACACACATCCAAAATTTTCTTTTCGGGTAGTTGCTAGAGGGATGTTCAGCATCAACGTATACTATTGTCATGAATTATGTTGTTAAAAATACTATTTTCTTTTAGAGGCGGTGATGTCAGAAATACTGGTTTCTTTTAGATGCGGTGATCTTTTAGAGCGGTTTTACGAATTGATTCTCTGAATACGCACACAAGTGCACATACTTTTATACCCATATATCAACATTTCTAAGAATACAAATAAACACTGGTATTGAATATCATCTCTTTACCGCAACCACTTTCATCCACAATTTTCTGAGAGTAAAACCATTTTCTCTCTTAAAACTGCAGTGAGGAAAAGCATATTTGCCACAATGACATTTGTTGATCTTTTACTAGTTTTCCGTCATGAAAAAGATTTCTATTTACTCGGGGTTTTTTCCTCAATGCTTATTTTTACAATCACTTTAGATTATATGCATTGTTTGTGAGCTCCCTTCAGCCGAGTCACCAAGATTGCTGAATAGAGGTAATTCCATTGGGGTTCGAATGGGATCTCTGCACGCGCGCTTTGATGATTTTCTCATGTCTGACGTGAATACGAACTAGAACGTTTAATTCGAATATCATCCACTGACTCATTCATTCCCTTAGATTGCTTTAACATATTTTTCCATGGAGGTTTAATCAAATTCTCATACATTATAAAGTACGCTTGACACGTTATTTGCCTTGCATGGTATATAAAATTTGGTACGAATTTTTATTAATTGCGTTCATAAATAATTTCTATTTAAATTGATAATAATAATTACTTTGTACATCTCTTTCCTTCAAGAAAAAATTGCAAAATATAAAAAACATAAAAAATTGCAAAAAATGCTAAATTTTACTTTATTTATGACATACTTTGTTCACTTGGATAGAAAAAGGGGCGATGTTTTTAATTCGTAGTCAAAATGTTAAGCAAGGCAGGAGGCAGTAAGCAAAGTTTCGCTTCATACCTACTAAAGGTAGTTCTGTTTACTAAAGGTCATTTTGCCAATGTGCAGAAAAAAAAGAAAAAAAAACAGCATCACGTCGCCCCTTCGAAAAAAAAGAAAAAGAAGTGGGATAGAAACAGAAAATAAAGAGAAGAGAGAGGTAGAAAAAAATTGAATTTCAACTTTCAGAGTTATAAGTGCGTTACATCAGAAAGCTATTTCGTCGTTCTCTTTGGAATAAATAAAGCAAGCTGTTATAGTCCGAGTAATACAAATATTAAAATTAAAATTCTAATATGTTTGCGAGCTTACCTTTTATTAGTACTTCTACGGTTAAAACAATGAAGAAAATCCGCTTCATGCTTTTAGACCTCTCTTTACTAACAATATCCAAACAAAAATTAGTTTACAAACTCGCAACTTATCGTTTTCATCTGAGCGTTGTATGAAAGTCAAAAACAAGATGTTTACTTTTATCAGCAATCGGATGTTTACGTTTGCGGAAAACAAATATTTATCGGCAGAAGTATGGTAAACGCCAGATATAAAAAAAGAAGAAAGTAAACGGGAACACGATTAAAAAACACTCTTGGAGTGTTTTGCCAACTTCTAAAACCTTGAAAATACAACTAAGTAAGATTTCAAATTTCACTTTTGCTGTCGTACTTCTAAAATAAGAAACATGCTTCCCACTTTGAATTCCAATAGCACGAAAATATATGAATATCACCAAAAACTTGACTTTGGCGATTATGCAGCGTAATATAGTATATTATTTTCGTTTCAGAAGCTGTTGATTCAATACTCATTAAACGCCAATGTATAGCAAATCCTTTGCATTGACCCACAGTTATCTTGCTAGTATTAGTTTGATTTGATTTATTAGTTTACGGTAAAGCACACGAGGATTATTTGCGTAAGCAGAGGGATGCTTTCGTGGAAGACTTTGTAAGGAAACAGACTTGTATACACGCTTGCTAGTATTAAGAAAATCTTACAGAAATTTTACATTTAAGACTTAAGTATATAATAGGGTTCGTTTCGATATGGAATACAACTAACATCTATATTTGAATATAGATCAAAAAAAGAACGCAACCAAACTGTAACATCTGAAAACACTTTCTAGAAGATCAAAATTTATCAGTAATTTCTTGAATATGCGATTCGTGCTGATAAACCTTTTTTTTTTTTTTTTTTTTTTTTTTTTTACTACACAAAATGTAAAAAATTATCCTTCGAATAACTTAATGAGTAAATCATTTATTAAAGCAAATGCAAGATTTCTACTTGTACAGACTTCGGTGAGGACTTGTCTTACATTTGGAAATTATCTAAATACGGAAATGAAAAAGAACGTTTTCGGAATATAATTCTCCTTAGCTTCGTAACATAGAAATGAAGGAAAAATAATGCTAATAATTCATATTTGTACTTTATTTTTTAAACGAAAAACATACATAATGACACCTACGTCTACAAAACTATATCTGTCTTTCTAACCTGTTAAAGTAATGGGTCAAATTTCGTTGTTGTTAGAAACTGATAGTTGCATTGACTGTTTTTCAAATAATGCAAGTAAAGTCAATGTTTTACAGAAATAAATCCAAAAATAAAATGACTGGATACTTATTCAGTCATGCTGACAGCGCAAACATTCTGTTTCCTGAATTCTACAATATAAAACTGAATGAATCTCTATTCAAGATTTCCTTGAAAATTCCTTCCATATGCATCTTCCTTCACCTATCCAACTATTGTTACATTGAAACACAATTACTTTACATACTATGGGTAAATAATGAATTCTCCTAAACATTTCATAAAGGCCTTTGCAATCTGAAGCCGTACATCTCTTATCAGCGTAAGCATTACCGGACAATGTCTTGCTTAACAACTTCTAAAAATACAAAGAAAATTTAGTGATCTGGTTTCTGTGCCGTCAGAGAACTTTGGGACTTAGAGAATAATTAAAGGGTTTTGCCTGAGTGAGATCAAAAATATAAAAAAGCATTAGAATGAATCATACGAAGATGAGTGATTAAAAGGTCGAGAATTTTGTTTTAAAATATCTGTATTGTACCCATGATAGATACTTAACGCTCGCAGATTCGTCATCGTTTTTAAGTTACGAAGAATGCTTTTGATGTTTACCGAGCAGTTCAACCCGAATTGCTAATGAAAGCAAATCATAAAAATATTTACGACGAAAGAGTTGATTTTGTGGGAATATTTCCAGAAAAAGATGCGCCATTATCATTTTCATCCCAGTTATCTTTAGTTAAGGTGTCATTTAAAGAGGAGCTTGAAAAAACATGCAGTGTAAAATAGATTAAGAGAAATGTTGACAATTAATTGCAGTTCAACTTTCATCCAGCTTCCCTGATGATGTATCCTGTGTTTAATGCCTGACTGTATCTAAGCCTAAACGATCATTCTCAAAATTAAAAATTATAAAAACCTATTCGCGAAGCAGCTTAGGTCAGTAAAGGCTGGTAAGTTTAGCCTTGTTTACAACTGAGAATAATCGAGCACAAAAAATAATCTTATTAAAATAATTAATGAGTTTATTTTCATAATAGATGGAACACAGAGATTCTCATACTCCTAGTGTAAAAATGAAATATAATCTGAATAACTCGCTAGTAAATATTTTATTAAAATTATATTACCTATGTTTCATATTAATCTCTGTATGATGTCTAATAGCTTCAGATATCACACTTGTTTTCATTTAACGGGATTAAACAGGAATCAAACACATATCAACGACACATATATCGAAATATTTTTTCGATTATATTTATTGCATAAAGCTTGTATTTTTGTTACTTGTATTGCATTATATTTACTGCATAAAGCTGCTTTTATTACTTGGAAAGGATCAATTATAACTAAAAATAAATTTGGTTAAATTTGAGCGAAAAACTATAACGTTTTGTGTACTTTGTTAGCATAAAATGCACGAACCGTCTTAAAGACCAGAAGTGAATTATCACTATGTTTTGTAAAGTTCCACAGAGATAGAGAAAAGAGTGTAAAAGATCCTTTTATTTTGCAGTTGTTATGGATGATATTTTTGTCCGTCCTTAGTAAGTGTCCTCCAGCGTATATAAGAACTAAGTAAAAACTTTTCACTAATAACCATACAACCTACCACTTCTATGATATTACATGAGATTTTTTCACAACATTCATAGCTTATATAGGAGCAAAATTTAGCATTTTTGAGTTAAAATAACACTCCGAATAATGATTGTAGAAGAAACTAGAATCAGCGTAATATTCATAAATTTACAGGACTATTTTCGAAAGTTTAAATGTAGAAACTTCTTCTTCAGCTGAAGAAGCGCAAATAACGAAAGAAGCTAGTGCTAAGATAAAATAAAGGGGAAAAATCATATAGCGAATTAGATTTTGTAGATGCGTTTCACATTCATAAAAATCTCTTTCAAATCTAGTTAACGATCACAGTTCATAGGTGTTTTCATTTTTTCATAAGTATACGGCGTCAGTACATTGACTTTCTTCTCAGTCTTTTAGCCTTATCACTGGCTTCTCTTGCGTCATTTGCACTTCTACAGTTGACCTCAGAAAGGAGTTCCGCGAATTCATTACAGTTACGCTGATTCTTGTTGCTTTAACTCTGCGGAATAAAATTAAGTAATAAAATTTCCGAAAGGTAAGGAATAGGGTATTTAAAACATTTGTCAAATTAACAAAGCCATTGCTGTTCTCAACACGTTTCTATTCAAATGGCTATTTATAACATAAAAATGTGCTTTGAATAGCCGATGTGATGTCACAAACACGAATGAGGCAAAAACTTAAATAAAAATTTTTTAAAGAATTAGGTCTTAGAGTTAAAAAACATTAACAAAAACTATAAGTAATTACAAAAACAAATTAAAATCTTTATAGTCTTGGTTACAATAAACTTTAGAACACACGATGAATACTGAAAACACTTTAATAATGCACACACATTTTTTTCCGTCAAGTTATTTATATGTTTCGTACCTAATTCATATAGAAAATTCAGTTGAGGAACTGTAGTAATTGGACCAGATTTCTGAACTTAGGCAAAGCTTTCAAAGGCAATCTGTCTAACTTCTAGCTTGGGTTTGACGCAAAGCACTCCGGAAGATCGAATCTAAGTATCATCAAAGTTCTCCTCCTATAAACTTCTGAAGAAGGCTTCCGGATTAACGGATCAGTAATCCCATGTTCAACATAGGCATTATAGACACAAATATGCGTGCCTTATCCATGCACCATACCATGGCCCAATAATATGTCTAATCAACTTCCTCTAATCATTACCATCTATCATCCTGGAATGATAAAATCATTACAACCCATCTTCCGCAGAGTATTTAGCGCTGTAGAAAGGATAAGCACTAAGTACTAATTTAGCATTCCTGGATATTTTATATACTTATAAGGTACTCGCATTCAGTAGCCTTATTTAAGCATCTGTTTCTAGAATACGTAATAAATCCAAATGTAAATATTAAGGTTAACTTATGTAAGCAAGACTGAACTGGCACGTTGCAGTACATTTGCGATTTGATGTCACGTGATAAGTTTTAAATTTTTACAATTTTACAGAAAGCTTTGGTAAACATTTTAAATGGGAGGGGGAATATTAACTATCGTAAATTTTAAATTTAATTCGAATAGTTTCTAATGCTAAAGAAGCAAGGTATTTCCTAGCATCTTCCCATCTTTACTTCATTGCTTATTCTCTTTCTGTCATATCTCACGGGACTTTACGGAAAGTAATATACTTTAAAGTTTCTTTCTCTTGCTTAATGAAATTGTTGCCCGGAGTTGAGTCGTTAGAGTCGTTGACTGTAGCACCGATGGTTGCAGGGATCGAATCCTATAGAAGGCATGGATGTTTATAAGCGTACAGTACCCGTGCGGGAAGGGGCACTTCAAATATATAGTGAGCAAAATGTTCTCTCGAGAGTTACGTGGCAGAAGAAGAAGTGTGGGATACTCTTGAACTACCTTCTGACCTCCATCAAAACTGCATAGTTAATGCGGCGGGCCGAACGACCAATGCTGAAATTCTAGTGTCGGCCAATTTCTATCTGCTTACTGAAATTTTATAAAGTAACTAAAAAAGACCTCCAAACAGCAGCCCGACCTCCTGGCAGAATTTACGTCTTCATATGGTACCTTAATAAGCTACGCCAGAGCTAGCTAGAAAAGACGAAAGCCAAAGAAAAAAAAAGAAAAAAAAAAGTTTTTCGTTTTTCAAACAATGATAAAGGAAAACAGAGAAAACAAGAGTGCGTTATAAACTAAATTAAAAGAAACCACTGAAAACACGAAAATACACCCAAAAGCAAA